TGATGATTACCGAGAAAATTAACATAATCTTTCATACATCTCAGAATACAATAATTTTATTCCTCTGTACAACAGCAATCTGGACTAATTGGTGGTTGTTGCTGAACTATTTAATGAGAATTTTACACTAATTGTAGGCACCTAAATTTAATAAATAAATGAATATATATATTCATATTTCAAACATCATATTTCTCTGCCATGCAATATTTGGCTATTCAAACTTTTAAAAAATACAAGTATTAGCTAGTTTTGATGTATATATGCTGCTCCCATGTGCAGTATATTATTATGTATGCTCTCATCACAAGGGCATTGTATTATGTATGTACAAATCATACATCCATTGTCTTGTATGGCTTCACAGATGTTTTTAAATCTGTCACATTATGTAAAATGCCCTGAATTTAATTAACTATAATATAAAATGACTGTATAAACAAGTTCAATTTCTGCATTAAAAATGGAATGGAATGAGGGGCTGAAAATGAAGAATGAAGTTATAAGAAGGATTCACTAATTTTCAGCATCATAATCTATTAGATAGAGAAGTACTACACCATGTAAAAATATGGATTGTTTCAATAAGGTAAGAAATGTTTGAATTACTCTTTTTAAATTAAGTTTATTGTGTATATGCATTAATACATTTTTCAATTTTAGAAACTATGCAAGTGTGAGATTTGTAAATGTATACACTATCACATCCAATTTACTGACAATCCAAAAGGAAGTTAATTCTGCGACTAATGACTGTAAAGTTATACAGATAGGCATAAAAAGGCCAACATGAGTACCTGTTCAGGAGGGAAGAGAAGCCTAGAATTCTAAGTGAAGAATTAATTAAGCACTATTGAGTCAGGTTCAAATCTTGGTGAATGCATGGACCAGTGTTCACCATTTTACTATGTCTCTAGTCATCCCTTACAGCCAATTCTAAGGACATTCTTATAATGTCCTTTCTCTCATCTGGTCCATCCGCCAAATCTATGGCCGCTCCCTTCTTCTACTTCTATTTTCATTAACCTTGCCAAACATAATCATGTTTTCTAGTCTGTCGTCCAGGGTGCAGACACAATTAATATCTCTTTTGTCACCTAGAATTTGGACTGCAAATTGAAGGCAACAAGCAAGATTCTGTTACTTAATTAGAGTTTTTGTTACTTACCCTAATCTGTAGATTCTGGCTGGCATCAAACAGAGTAACAGTAACAGAAATATAGAAAAAGAAGAAAACACACACAGACACAGACACAGCCCAAATTAAAAATTAGAATAGGAAAACATAGCCTCCTACTGTACAGTACAATCAGCTCAGATTGAAAGCGTGGCAGAATAGTGATTCATGTCTCTTTCTACAGAAATCAAAATAAAGCTCTTGAACTCAAGGCATCAAATCTCTTCCACATTCTCTTGTTTTAAATTATTTCTCAATCAACTTTAACAAAGACTATTTTGCATTAATTGTTTGCCTATTTAAGAAGGTCTTTGCTTAGCCCTGGCCTTTTTTTAGAGCAGGAGGTCTTGCAAATCCCTTACACCCTTACTACTTCAAAACCAGACTACTGCGATGTGCCCTACTTGGGATTGCCTGTAAAAACTATCACAAAAGTTCAACTGGTGCCAAATGCAGCAGTCTGTATTCTGGCAGATAAGTGCCATTGCCACAGTGAAACACTATTAAATGGTGCTGTATGGCTGTCAGTTTACCTCCAGGTATAGTTCAAGGTGTCAGTTGTTACCTATAAAGCACTACATGGTTAGGATCAGGTTACCTACCAGACCATCTTCTTCCACGAGAATTGATTCAGTCTTTCTATGAAGGGTTGCTCTGTAGCCTCCATTCTTTTCTGATCAAAAGGGGCATGGACCCAGGAACAGGCTTTTTCACTAGCTGTGAACTAGTTGCCTCCATATTGCTATCTTTTAACAGAGCATTGGGAGATTAAGAGCCATGGCAAGGTTTGTTTTTAACTCTATGTTTCCACCATTGTTTGCTTGTATTATTGTTCAAATCAACATTGTTATGAGTTTTTATTAGGATGTTGGCCACCCGACATTTCTCAAGCTGGGTGGGATATAAATGTTTTAATAAACAAGCAATACATATTTAATAGAAAGATTAAGAGACCATTGGCATCTGTTTTCCCACCCTTACTCAGGGACAAGGTGCCTTTATAAACTACAGTAACTGGAACTGACATGGCTCTCCACAACATGGAGGTAGTTGGTGCATCTAAGGTAAAACTGGCAGCTGCTGAATTTCAGGTTCTCTTAGAGCTGGTCCGGAGGAAGGCAGGTTAATGGTTGGTTAGACCAGGGCTGGGGAAATCCCCAGCCCTATTATGTGCAAGCTGAGTTGGAGCCATTCTTAGCTCCCTAACTAACCCTCAGAAGGTTGTTGTAAGGATAAAACGGAGGTGGGGGCAGAGTTGCCAGTGGGATTTCCTAAAAAAAACCCAAGGTTTCGTGCTCAAATAAGCCAGATCCTACACAAAAACCCCAGATAACAAAAAACATAACAAATAAGTTTTAAACTAAATTATTTTTACCTATTTATTGACAGTGCTACGTAAAGTTACAAATAAATGTTACTTAGTTTTGATTTTATTCCTCCTCACCAGAATCTTCATAAATTGTGCCCATTTCATTAGATATCTTTGCATTCTTGAGTCTTTCAGAATATATTCAGTATACTGCTCCATCCTGAAGATCTCTTATTAATTCTTTTTTTGGCTCCAAAGTTGTACAATGTTATGATGTTTTGTTACTTCTTGCTTGGCGAGGAGTCTGTATTTAGTAGTTTCTACTTCTAGCTTGTGTTTTTTGTTTTAACACAGTTCATTTGAGGAAAAAAAAATCTCTATGCAAGTGTGAGGAGTGGGGTAGAACTGTCAAGTTTGTCATAAAATCTGATAATAATTGATATTTTGGTTTACCAAGACCATTTTTGAAGTCCTGTAATTTATACCAGTACTCTGGAATTTTCATGTTTTCAGGAATGCAGTGTAAGTCCTTTGACATTTTAAAGCTTTGCCACTTGTCATCAAGGTCATTTAGTTTATTTTCAGGAACAAGAGTTTTAAAGTGAGCTGCTATATTTGCAGTAGCCATTGGAGTTTTGGGATCTGTGGCCATCTTTGGATCTAAAACTTGCAATTTAGCAATGATATCATCTTCATCAAATGAAAATTTGCTTTTAATTTGCATGCAGGGTTCTACAGGGAGTTTCAAACAATTCATTGCTAGGAAGAATTTCCTGATCTAAAAGGGTCATTGTCCTTCCACCAAGGATCTTCCATATTTTTATAATTCACATTGTTGCTGGGGTCAGGTTCAGGTACTTTACTTTGCATGAGATACTCTTCTTTAATGAAGAAGAACATTCTGGTTTTATATGCTGCCAATACCATTGAATACAACGTATGCAATCTAAAATGCTTCAACTGGAACTCAAGTTTAAGAGCATGTACCTTTTGCAGTACGTATTGTAGGAAACAGAGCAAGTAATTTGTTCCATGGTTGATTAACATCTCGTATATTCATCTTGTTCCATCAACTTCATCAGTTCTCATAGAGCACTAGAGCTTCCCATTGTTCTAGAATTATACTTATTACAATTTCTCTAGATAGCTACCTAGGTTGTGCCAGGTGTGGTATTTTATGAACAGTCTGGATAACATCTTGTATCATTGCAAAATCATTCTGTGTCTCGCTGCTACATAAAAAGTATTACGCTAAGTCTTTTAAAAGAGATTCTAAATATGAAGGTAACACTGACACAGCATGGTTTGCACAAAGAGAAAAAGAATGGCATATACATCCCAAAATTAAAACTGATGACACAGCATCTTTTAGTAACTTTTGAAATCCACTTGTCATTCCCATCATTGCAGAGCAGTTGTTGCTCCCCAATCTGATGATGTTGTTCAAGGGAAGGTTTCTTTCACTGAAAAGGGATTCAACAGCATTAAACAGATCCACCGCTGTTTCATTTTCTACTACAACCATGTCAAGAAGAGCATCAACATCACGTTTTCTCTGGTTAGAGTAACATATCACTATGGCCAAAACTTGTGTTACAGAAACATCAGTATGCTCATCAATGATTATTGAAAACTTTTGTTTTCAACGTATTTGAGTTCTAATTTTTCATGATAGGCAATGCCATCCTGTATGATATATAAAACCTTTGATCTTTTCATATTTAAATTTTTGACACTATTACCTCTGGGAATGCCATTTTTAAAACATCAAGATGATTCATGTGCACAAAAGGCACATGATGTTCTGAACAATAACTAGCAATTAGGGCTTCTGCCTTTGCAACTTTTTTACTTTCTGAGGTTGTCTTCTTTATTAAGAAAGATGTAACAGCTGCTACAGAATTCGCAGCTTCAAAGTTTTTATGCCTTTCAGTATTTTTGTGAGTTAACAACATTGACTTTCTTGTATTCTTAAGTGAAATTTTACAACACACACAGTAGCTACTGTTTTCATTAGCGCTGTCCTTTTTTAGTCAGCCTTTAAATTCAGGTTCCTGCATCCATCCGTTTTTAAATGATTGCATATACCATGTTTTCCTTTCTTTCTTCGGCAACTCTTCACTCGTCGTTGTTAATAAGGAATGCAAACTGCAAATGCACTACTAAACTGGAACTCGAGAGCGTGCACGCACTCTGCATTCAAAGACTAACTGCGCCGCTAGTGAGTGAGACGCCCTCCTGCTTAAAACGTGTCGGTGTGTCGCTAGTTTTAAGGAGAAGGAAGGGACGCCGACCGCCTGGATGGGGGGTGCGGATTCCGGAAAGCCGTTTCCCATCAATCCGTGGGGCCGGGTAGATCGATACGTCCGCCTTCCCGCAAGACGATGAAGGAAAGCTCCCTCTGCGAGGGGACTCGGCCGGGGTTACAAGGAAAGCGCTCCCCCTTCTTCCTTAAGCGGAACCTTGCAAGGGAGGCGCGGCGGCCGAGGGGAGGGAATTTGGCGACGGCCCACACCCAGGCGACGACTGCCGGGAACGGCCGTTTCCTTGGCTCTCCTCACGGAATTTCGCGCACTGCTCTCCCCCACCGTCTGGCGCGTGCCTTTTACGCGCTGTGACCTTTTCCGTCGCCCGGTGCGGCGGAGGCGGCGGCGGCGGAGGAGGAGGAGGAAGCGGCGTCCACAGGAGTGACACGGAAGGTCACCTCGCGGCTTTCTTTCGCTTTCAATTCCGTGTGGCGGCGGGGCTTTTCTGTAGGACCGGGTGGCGCGTTTTGGCCAGCGAGTGGGGAGGGCGGCTTGGCTTTCCCGCTTCGTGTCGCTGTTCACAGCTCGTGGGAGCAGCCAGGAAGCCCTGAGAGCTTTTGGAGAAAGAAGGTGAGTGCTCCATTTCCCCTCTTGTTTTGCGCGGGAGGGGGTTGAAATAATGGCTCTCCTCTCCCCCCGACTCTAAGTGCCTGGTCTGGTTCTTGTTTTATTAAGTAGGGTTGTGCGGAGCCCCAGTTTTGTTGGTTAGCCAAAATCACCCTCCTGATCAGGAATTTGGCTTTTCCCGCCTACTCATAAGCCCATCCTATAAGCTATCTGCAAAGACTGAATTAAAACTGTTCATAGCTTTTCTATAATGCCTAGGGTTCACACCACTCCTGTAACACAGAAGCAAAGAGCCAGTCCCGGCTCTTATTTTCCCAGCCACTCCCTCTTCATGCTGATACTAGTTCCTATGTAAGTGTGGCATTGAGGTCAGGCCAGGGCATGTAGCTTGTGGTGGATGATAGGCACGATGCTCCTTTTCAGGTCTGATTCTTACATTTATAATTTTTAACCACCGTGAGTGAAAACAATTAAGAGAAAGGAGAAACAAGTAAAACTGATGTCTTAGAGAACTCCAGCAGCTGGGTAGAATGGTTGCTTTCTGGAAACAGCAGAGATACAGCTTGTCCTGATAGTGTCACATGGTGACTTGTTAAGCAAGTACTTTAAGCCGATAATAGTATGCTCCTACCTTTTTAAAGCTTCTCAGGAGAAAGTTGTAAAACAATAAGGAATCTTGATTTCCAGTAGTTTGCATATGTTTGGCCTGTCAGGCTTGTAGGATGTTGGGATGAGGCCTGCAGATGGCTGGATGATGAATTTACCCTGAGTTTGCACTCTTAAGCAGGCTAAAAGAATAGTGATGATCATGCAAGTGGCATGGTATAACATATAAGTGAGATTCTGTATACGGTCTTCGTGTGGCAGTTAAAAAGTCATTAAGAATTTCCCCCTTAGCGAACATGTTGTATATATACTGTCCCCCCTCCCATGTCTATATGAAGAATATATAAGTCCATCGCACTCATAAATTGTGACTCTGGGCAGTGTACATCAATAAAAAATACTGGAAATACAAAATGGACCTATAGAACAAGAGACAGTAAACACATAGCTGAAGCAATTTATAACACTCACTCTCACAATAGAACAGGTTCATCTAACCTCTTAATCCCATATATGATAGAAAACCCAGGTTTTCATGGCTCTATGAAAGGTCAGGGCCATTTGTACCTCAGAAGAAGCTTATTCCAAAGGACAAACACAGTTTACAATTCCAGTCCATCACTGATAAGCTGCATATAGTGGGGACCTTCTTATAGTCTGGTCATATTTGATAAGCTGCCTACATTAAATGTAATTTTTGAAACTCGAGAGAGAGAAAAAAAGAACTCAGAAGAGTAACTAAAATTATAAAAGTGGCACATTTTAGGATGTACATGGAATGAAATGGATTCTGATTTAAGACATAGCATAATGAGATTCTGCCATGCTATTTTGGATTGGCTGCAGTTTGCTAGAAATAAAACCAAAATGTTTTTCTTGTTTTGTGTTTGGCTGAAATTTGTTCCAGAGCAATACTGGAGTGATTTTATGATGCAAATAGAATGAGGCCTGGAGCGCATCATACACACACAAATACCCCATGTGACCTGTGTGCCAGTCTACCTATGCCCCAGTCTTAGTTTTAATTTATGCAATTTCAGTATTTATAAACCACCATGTTATAGAAATTCTAGCATAAAATGCAATAAAAGCCACTGAATACACACACAAGTCATTCCAATCTTTAGCCTGCTCCAGAAACCCTGCAAAACTACCCATGTCTTGATTTAGATCCAGCCAAACATGTTTTTTCCCATACATAATAATGAAGTCAAGTATTCTATCAACCTTTTTCCCTGGGCCAACTTGCCAAATCAGCCAACAGCAATCTAATAGTATCTTCCTTGCCTCCCCCTGCCCCCATGTCTTCCCTTCTCTGCCTCCCCTCAGCTGCCAGGGCCAATGAATTGGCCTGTGTGCCTATTCTTTAATGCAACAGCCTCAGCAGTAAGGAATAGGGTTCCAGAGTGGCATATCCCACTGGTCAGTGTGCTGTCCCAGTCTCCCCAGAACTTTCCCTTTTCTCACGCAGGGCACCACATCTTCCCAGTGTTTTTCCTTTTCTTCCTTCCTGCTTCCTCACAGCTGGTCCACATATGCCACCACCCAGGAAACCCCTCAGCCTTGTTTTTCCCCTGCCCCCCCCCACTACATTTCAGTCCATACTAGAACCAGATAGCCCTATTTCATTACACAGGTGGATAAAAACATCTGAAATGCCATATTTTGATTTGGGCAGAAACCACTCAAAACCAGCTGTGCTGTGTATGGAACTTTCTGCACATCTATACTGTAGTATGTTTAAATGAATTTAGTATTTTAAAGTCAATTTGTAAAGTTGATTTTATTAATCTAGTAGTGCTGGTCTTACTAGAGTATGATAGGCTTCAGAATATTTGTATCTTTCTTTCATTCATCCAGTATCTTTAGTGTGGCTTTGATGCTCATTTTTTAAAAAACATTTTCCACTGAGACAGCTATTTTTAATAGAAAATTTACTTATGTAAATGAAAAAAACAGTTGAAAGGGGGGAATAGCACATGTTCCTAGGCACAGATAAAATCTGGCATTTAGTTATCCAGAATCTCAGCTTAAATAACATCCAGAGCTATGTTTGGCCACCAGGTTTTAACACTAGTTTAGAATGCAATAATCCTATCCTGTTATCCTATTCATTTGGAGGGAAGGATTGCAAAACACAATGTAAAGTACATGTTGGTACTAACCTAATCAATAACTGTTTGTAAGATATATAGGGTTAATCATATCAGTTTGACCAAGATATTTGTTTGAATTCTAACTTCCTCCTTCTTTGTACCTCAACCAATTTGTGATATTTATAAACATTTAGGCCCCCCTAGAAACAGTACAGTAAGTGTTTATTTTTGCTTTGCTGCAAAATATATTGTATATAAGGGAACCATGCTTCCTTTAATTTGGTTAAACTTCTGTTGTGAATAATGCTGTTAATTTTACCATTGCTGCATATTCTCCAAGTTTAAGTTGTCATTGGAATTGTATCTTTCTTCCAAAGCTGGGCAAAATTTATCCTTGCAGCTGTGAGCATGCATCTCAGTAAATTATGATACTTCTTGCTGATACGTTCTGGAATTATACATAAGTAATACATTTTGTAGCATTATCACATAGGAATGGTATAGTTGAGTTTATATCTGAGAGAGCTAACGTAAGGGTGCTGTCATCCATATTTTCATACAGAAAAATCTGTACAGGGTTGGCCAATGGTTTGCTCTTGATGGTGGGCTATATACCTGAAAATAACAAGCATAGACATCTATAACTAGCCATGATGATGGGAAAATGTGCGTATGATGTCACAATCCTCCTCTTATCCTTTGCCCACTTGTGGATGTCCATGATGGTAAGCACTTAGGAATAGACCTTTTTAATCCATTTGCAAAAGGTGTGGAAGAAAACATCACACTTGACTAGGCCCACCTGTGGTATATTGTAGGTTACAATTCCCTTTACTGATCAGAATTCAGTAGCCATAGTTCTTACTTGGCACCTCCAAGTACCAACTTGACTTGTGTTCTAAAGTAGGATAATCTTAAAATTAGTTACTTGATCACAAGCTCAGCTGCTTAATAAAAAAGAGATTACTCGTTTCCTGCACTATTAATGGCAAAAAACTAGGTAATCTGACATCAGGAAGCCAGTGATCTATGACGGGTGACTCGGAAGGAAGGGAGCAAAAACCATGTCTGTATATGAAGGATTGCACTGACATAGATGTAGGTATGGAAGTAAGAGGTCCTTGACTATGCAGGTTTTGTAGGTGCTTTGGTCAGAAAGGTTGTGCACTCATATGGATGCAGTGTAGTGAACTGCTGATTGCTAACAATAAGAAGAAATAGGAGCACATATATTGAGTCTTACCTTTTTTGACTACTAACAAGTAGGTTGCTAATAACAACAAATAAAAGGATGTATGATGTTTCTACTGAATATTAATGTTTTCCAGTTAATATGTTCCAATTTTTAAAAATGTTTTCTCTTTTTGATTTGGTCATTGACCAACTTTGAGTGATAACTAATTATCCCTTTCTTTGTCTCTACAAGGAAAAGAATCACACCCATCTTGTATATGAAATCTCTTATATGTGATATCTTACTCATCTTGTATATGAAAAAATCTCACCCATCTTGTGTATGAATTAGCAGCAGGTTGGTAATGTGTCAAGTATAGTAATGTATATATCATGTAGCAAAAATTACATTTCAAAGCTTCCTAACTTTCTAAGAATGTACATTGACTTACTTTCCTCTATTATTTGATATAGGTGAAACAGGCACAATGGTACACGCTGAAACTTTTTCTCGTCCTCTAAGTCGGAATGAAGTTGTTGGTTTAATTTTCCGCTTAACAATATTTGGTGCTGTGACCTATTTTACAATTAAATGGATGGTAGATGCAATTGATCCAACAAGGAAGCAAAAAGTAGAAGCTCAAAAACAGGTAAGGGAATAGGTAAAATATTTTAAATATAAAAGTTATATAAATAAGGAACAGAAAAGCTATCATTATTACTGAGTTATTGAGTCTAGAGTTAGAAAACAGTTAAGTCTGCACTCTAAACAAGCCTATTTATTTGCTTACTTGCTAACCTTGCTCACCATCCCCATGTTATGACTCTGGGTGCTATACAACTGAATAAAAACAAATTCCACAAGGTATAAAAATAATCAAATAATCAGTTAAAGATACAACAAATATATGCATGGATAGAGGAACCTCTGTTCACCAATTTTTTTTTATTTTTTTTTTGTGGCTACTATACTCCCTGTGATAGGTTACCAATATTCAATGGACAGTCACCAAACAACAGAGTACAGTTTCCAAGCCATGTTTTTGTGAGTAATGGGGCACCCAGAAAATGCTTCTTAAAAATCTCAACCCAGAAAATAGACACAAATCCCGTCCTTTTCTTTCTTCAGTGAGGTCAGTTAAATCACTGGGTTGCTGCTCTGTCTACACTAGTCCTCAAGCTACATCAGTGGGGGAAATTAAAAGTCATTCTTTAACCCCTGAAAAGCTGTCCATTCATGAAATACAAAAACATTATTGAACTCAGCGGGATTGACTCTGAGTAGGCCTGTATAAAATTATGCTTTAAAGTGAACAAAATATTTTGTTCATAATTCTGGTAAAGTTCTAAAATAATGGAATCAAGGTATTGTTTTCAGCAGCATCTGTGCCTTAAATCAGTAAGAAAATTCAAGGCCTCCCTGTATCCCTTGCATGCAAATAATATGTTATAGTGAGACAGGGTGTCTTGAAAGACTGTGTCTCCCTCTGTTATTTTTTTCTTAGGTATGTGATGTTTATGGAGACTCACTAGGGCCTTTTGTATTATAATGCCCCACCTGTACAATGTTGTATTTGTGGGAATGTGGTTTTTTATTTGTGTTCAAATCATAGATCTTTATAGCTGGAGAATAATTTATCTCTTCCCCAATAATGAATATATCATTCTGAAAGTTGCCTGCATATTTTGAAAGAATTTCTGAGATACTGTGTAAAAGGCATACATGTAGTCCTTGGTTTACAATGGCAGTTGGGACCGGAATTGCTGTCACTAAATGGCACAGTTGTAAAGCATGACATCACATGACTGTCACCTAGTGACAGCAGTCCCGGTTGCCGCCATAAAGCAAGGACCTCACACGACCGCATCTGCCAGCTTCCCTATTGACTTTGCTTGTGGAAAGCCAGTAGGGAACATCAGAAATCTCAGTCATGTGACTGCAGCTCACTGTGAAGTCCAGAACTTCAAGGACCAGTCATAAGTAGCCCTCATTCAGTGCCATCGTAACTTTGAATGGCCGTTGAATGAATGGATGTAACGCAAGGACTACCTGTAATGTTTATGATTTATGCTCTTAAGTAGCTATGCTCAAATGGAACCTTGCTCTATTACTGAAAGGGATCTTGTTATGAGTATTGAGAGAAAAGTTGAAATGCGGTTGAATAACCTTTGATTATCCTGGAGAGAGACCCTGAAGTATCTATAATTACCACAACAATCTGGCCTCATTGTCAGTAAAGTGCGGTAATATATTCAAGTAAATGAAAATGTGAGTATTCTTATTTCAAATTCCTAATTCACAATTAACAGAATATTCACATTCCTTAATAGCAACTTTCCCTTTTCAGATATTAACTGAGAATATCAGATGAGGTCATATTGCTGAACACTGGCTTTTCTTTACAGGCAGAAAAGTTGATGAAGCAGATAGGTGTGAAAAATGTTAAGCTTAGTGAATATGAAATGAGCATTGCTGCACATCTTGTGGATCCTCTTAGCATGCACGTAAGTGTCTTATTTATATGTAAAAATGTTACATTAGGGCAAAATGTTCACATGGATGCTATTCATAGTGGAACTGTATTTTAATTGAATTTTCTTAATTTAGGGAATAGACTGACATTATGGAATAGACACTTGTGTTAACTCTTTATTCCAAATAGCATAATCATCGTATAGATCCAAAATCCCAGAACCTGTTTCTTTTATTTCCATTCTCTCAATATAGGTAGTGTCTTAGTTAGTTAGTTAGTTAGTGATACTAGTGATCACACACTTTTAAAAAAACCTGAAATATTATTACATAGTAACTATTTTCAGATATTGCAGCGTAGGATATTATGTATGTGCAGCTAATTGAAACACCATTTCTCTTTGGGGATGGTATAACAGGGAACAAAATTCTGTAATGATAGTTTTTACAAGCATTAAATACCAGAATTGATAATTACCCAATTTTAAAATTTTCTTGATATAATATTATGCATGTGTATGGCCTTTTTTTAAAAAAAAAATCAAAGTGTAGTAACCTATTTTAACATTCTGTCAAAAGTTTTGCTTTTCTGCAGTGAATTTCTGCAGTTTTATATTAAACTAAAACATGCTTCAAAATAATAACTCTGTGAATATTTGAAGTTCTCCTTGTATTCTTAAAGACTGAATTATGGTCATTCCATCTTGTTCCATAGGTTAACTCATTGTATGTTTTATCTATATCATGCTCATATAAGATTATTTCAGGCACTGGGTATAAGCACAAGTACTCAGGTACTTAAAAAATTAGCACAGAGAAAGTACCAATTTGATGTTAATTTGAAAAAAAGCAATATTGCTGCAATTAAGTATATTGCTAATCTATGTTGTTATATTATTAATGTTACATGCAAGGAGTTTTCCATTCTTGGGTGTTCTGTAGATATAGTAGGACTGGTGGTAATTAGTGAGTCAGTGGGATGAATGGCTAGGGATGATATTGTAGTTGCTTGTGATAGATTTATGGGCATATCTACATCCACTGGTTAAGCTCCTTCTGTCCTATGCTCATGCTGGTTTGATTCTAAGCCAGTTTAAGAAAATCTTATCTGGACTGAGGCACTTTGATGGCCACTTGCAAAGATATTCACTTAAGGTGATCATGTACTCCCACTGGACAATTCCCCTGCTGCTATGCCCTTCCCTCTTTCTTTTCCAGGGAAGCAATGTCTTTCTGGTTGTATGCGTGTGTGTGCGCGCACGCACATATGCCAGAGGAAGTGCCATGGCAAGACAAGACCATGTACCATCGATAGATAGCTGAGGTGGTAGACACTGGGAAATCCTACCAGTGGCTGGAAAGGGCTGGACTAAAAGACAGCACTGAGGCACTGATCATAGCAGCACAAGAACAGGCACTAAACACCAGATCCATACAAGCAGGGGTCTGCCACATTAGACAGGATCCAAGGTGCAGACTGTGCAGAAACAGCCCAACACATAGAGGCAGGATGTAAGATGCAAGCAGGAACAGCATACACTGAATGGCACAACCAAGTAGCTGGCATTGTGTATAGGAACATCTGTAGAGTGTATGAGCTAGACTCCCCCAAGTCCAGATGGGAGATTCCACAGAAAGTCGTGGAGAATAACAAGGCTAGATCCGGTGGAATTTCTAGATCCAGACGGACAGGCAGGTACTGCAAGCAGGAACAGCATACACTGAATGGCACAACCAAGTAGCTGGCATTGTGTATAGGAACATCTGTAGAGTGTATGGGCTAGACTCCCCCAAGTCCAGATGGGAGATTCCACAGAAAGTCGTGGAGAATAACAAGGCTAGATCCTGTGGAATTTCCAGATCCAGACGGACAGGCAGGTACTGGCCAATCAACCAGACATTGTGGTAGTAGTCAAGGACCAGAAGACAGTGGTGGTGATAGATGTAGCTGTGCCAAGTGACAGCAATATCAGGAAGGAGAGTATGAGAAGCTGGAGAAGTGCCAGGGCCTGAAAGAGGAACTAGAGAGGATGTGTAAAGTAAAAGCCAAAGTGGTCCCAGTGGTAGTAGGAGCACTTGGGGCTGTGACTCCTAACCTGGGAGAGTGGCTCCAACAGATCCTAGGAACAACATCAGACCTCTCTGTTCAGAAGAGTGCAGTGCTAGGAACAACTGAGATACTGTGCAGAACCCTCAAACTCCGAGGCCTCTGGTAGAGGACCTGAGATTGAGGAAGACACAAACCGCCCATAGGGGTGAGAGGGGATTTTTGTTTATGCATGTCCACATATAAAGTTAATTTACATTTATGCGTACAGAATTAAAGCAAAATGCTTATACATGTAAGCGCAACAATCAGCTTAAAAGAAACTAATTTCTTACTGCTTTGCTGCTTTCTGATATCTTTTAGACTGATTCTTACCATGAGCACTATAATACCACCATAACTCTTGCCTTGTAGTTAGAAGATTGCTGATCTGGAACTCAGCAGAAACTGGGTTTTGCCATTTTTCCAGTCTCCTGAGTCAGAAGGGTTTCACCTCCAGGGCAAACCACCAACTTTTATATGCTAGGCACAGATCATAGCCACTGTGCTTTTTCAGTGTTCTTGGTAAAGGAAGGTATAGACAACATGGTAAGCAGTAACTCAGTTGAAAGGATGTTTTTTTCCTCTGAAAAGTAGCCAATGAACTGCTGGGTTTAGCCTGCCCAAACTGACAGAAACACTCAAGATGACAGCATACTTCAGAGGTGTAATGAAAAACATGACCTGAGGTCACTCTGATGATGAGTGGTGGATTAATAGAAGGCAATATTGTCCATTTCTGCCCTCCAGAAACAGTTATCTGCCTGTTTTGGCGACAGGCAACCTGGTAGTGCAGCTAAGTCTTTGATTTATCTTTTATTTGGTGTGTTTATTTTGTTGTAAGTTGCCTACAGTCATTAAGTAACGTGGGAGATAAATGTAAATTAATATAATTATATGTATAATTACACGAGGGTAAGGATATTTCTTTAAATTCTGCAGAATGCTGCACTACATTCTTGGATAGACAGTGTGACTAAATTTGTATATTCTAATTGTTAGGCTTGATTAATGACTTACTAGCCAATTGGGCTGTGGTTTAAAACTGCCCCCCCCCCAGCTTTAAACCAAAATTTCTAGACTGAAATTTCCTTTGTGGGAGTGCATGCCATAAAATTTTTTTAAGAGTTTTAGATTCTGTGATTATAATAGTTGCCAATAGTAAAAGGGCATGTTAGATATTAAAACTGAGTTTATTATTAATGGTAAATTTGTAGCAGTAAGAAGAATTATTTATTAGTGCTCTCCTGCCATACTGCCTAAGGCCAACATCATCTGTATGTCTTAGATCAAGGACCAAAATACTCTTCTTCATAATCAGCTAAAAAGCAAATATAATTGCATGGCACATTATATAAATGCATTCAGATCTTTCCAACACTAAATTATCTTAACCAACATCAAGAGAGTAAAATCACAACCTCTGGGATGCCTTTTGTTTTATTTTTCTTGTTTGGTGAGATACATGCTTATAAAACAGATGGCTTTAAGATTTAATATAAATCTCATCTTCATTCCCAATTTGAGAATATAGCTGTTTGATTAATGCCAGTTCAGTATTTTTTTTAATCTTGTCTTTGTGCCTTAGGTAACATGGGATGATATTGCAGGCTTAGATGACGTTATTACAGACCTGAAGGATACCGTTATTTTGCCAATCAGGAAAAAACATCTGTTTCAGAACTCCAGACTTCTGCAGCCACCAAAAGGTAATATGAAGAGGGTTGAATCTAAGTTGATTTTTTTAAAAAAAAAAAACCTGACCATAAGAGAATTCCTTAGGACAAAAAGTCCAGTTTTACAAATAAACTTAGGAAGATCACTTGGGCCTGTCCCATTTATAATAAACTGTTTTCATGGAAGATTAATTTCAAATGTGGAAAAAGTAAAGATCGTTTTCTTTCAGATCATGCCATTCCAGTTGAATGTATGCATTTAACTGTAGTACTTTTTTTGGTTTATAATTTTTATTAAAACTTTTAAATAAGATAAAAACTAATACAAACTAATTTAAAGTAAGGAAGAAATCAAAGAAAAAGCGAAAAGTCCAATAAAAAAGTTAAAAAATAGAAAAGAAAGAAAAAAGATATAAAGAAGTGGCTTCCGCTTCAATTGAATATTGAGCTTTAAAATCCTCTGTATCAAAGTATATATTTGAATCCAAATTTTTTTAGCTCTTTTACATGTCTACCCAGCATGATAAAATGTTTCTTCATGTTGTTCACATTTCCAGCATACATTTGAAATGCCTTTATACATTCTAGATAATTTCTCTGGTGTCATGTATCAATGATACATCATTTTATAAAAATTCTCTTTGAGATCATAATGCAATGTAAATTTCAACCCTTTTAACCACATATTTTCCCATTGATCCATCTGTATATTATAACAAAAATTCTTAGCCCACTTTATCATACATTCTTTAATATATTCTCTCACTGTTTCAAATTTCAACAGAAGTTTGTACATTTTAGCAATTACATGTTCATCATCAGTACACGGTTGTATTTCAAATTCTGTCTTACTTTGCTCCATACCATAACTCTTTTTATCCATTTTAAATCTTTCAGATAACTGTAAATGGAAAAACCATTAACAACTATATCCTTCTGCTATTAATTGCTCTCTTGATTTGATTTTAAATTTCCCTTGATAATTTTCCAATAAGTCCTGGCACGTCAATCTTTGTCTGCCAGTTCTCTTCTATAATATGCTTCTTGAGCTGAGATCCATAAAGGTGTTTTCGGGCGCAACCTGGATTTATATCTATTCTATATGCTCAATATGGCACATCTAATAAAATAATTTTCCACATTAATTTTAACTTTATCATACCATAAATATCCATGCCATCCAAACCTCAGGTGGTGATCTTTTAACTGTAAAAGTCTCTTGTTTCTCAGCAACATCCATTCTTTCATCCAAACCGAACAACAAGCAGCAAAATAAAATTTCAAATCTGGTAAACCCAATCCTCCTCTTTCTTTTGCATCTTGTAGCACTTTGTATTTAACTTCCCCCCTACCTTCCAGGCCTTCTGGAAAGGATTAAAAACCTGGCTCTGCCAGGTTGTGTGGAGTGATAACAATCTTGCCCAATCCTGGGGGTGGCTGGCGCCTTGATGACGCTTCATGAGTGACTGCCAATTATTTTTAGATCTATTTATTTTTTATTTATTAATAGTAGATTGTAATTTTGTAATTTTAATTGATTTTAACTGTTTTGTAAACAGCCCAGAGTTGTTTCTACGAGATGGGTGGTAACAAATTTGATATACAAATATAAATAAACTCATGTTTTTTTTCCCCTTGCCATATAAATTTAGATATATCGTTTTGCCATTGTTTAAATGGTACATCCGTTGTCAAAACAGGTATTGTCTGAAATAAAAACATCATTCTTGATAAAAATTCATTTTTATCATAGAAATTCTCCTCAACAGCGACTATTTTAATTTCTCCCATCTTAACATGACCTGTCTCTTCCAGTTCTTTAATTTTGTTTCAAAAAATCTCTTGCTTTCTGCATTGAGTTCAGTCTAAATCTCTGTTGATTGAAAGTAAAAATCACCCCTTCTAATTTGTCCCATCTAAATGGAATTTTCTTCTGTTTAAGTTTGTCTGTCAGAAAAAAAGTATTCTTTTCTCTTGCGTAATATTCTAATTGGAATTTCCTTAAGTACAATTACATCTGTATTATGAATCCTCAGTCTAGCATTAAAATGCTGCTGTAGAACTTGTTCTCTTGTCTTCTTCCTGACAAAGTACACAAGGACATCCTGTGGAACATTTCTTAACTTTGCAAAATGTATATTGATCCTTATCAATCTGTGTATCAGTGTCATCTTCCTCCCAATCCAGAAAATCAGAGACTTAACAATCTTTTCTCTAATTTCCTTTCAATGTTCTTCTGGAATTGCTCTAGATCTTAAGCAAAATTCTTTTTCTCTCAGTTCTAATAATGCCAAATTCTCCAAATCCTTCTCCATCTCTCTATTTGTAACTTCTGTCTTACTTTCTAAAACTTCAGTAATTTATTTTAAGTCTGCAACCAGTTTCCCTACAGATTCTTCAGTTTTCTTAACTTCTTTCAGATCTTTTTTCATCTCTGCAAATCCTTCTTCCATTTCCTTTTAACTGTTGCAATCATCTTTTTACGAAATTCTTCAAACTATTTCTGCAATAAATCTGGTGAAATGCCCTTATCTGTATTTTGTTCCAGTGAACCCCGATGTCCTCCTCCCACTTTGGCAGTTTTCCTTGTTGCCATGGTAAGAAAGTGAAAGTATGTCAATTACTACAGTGAAAATAAAAGGCAGGCAGCTTCTTCTTCCTCTTCCTCTTTTGCTTCTTTCTGTCTTTAAGACTTTAGTCCCAATTGGCTCTCCATACTCACAGTCACAAGTCTGGCTCATATTACTCTTTTCGTTTTGTAAAATTTACCAATTATCTGCTGTCCTTAAAAATAAACAAGCTACATTCCCACTAAGGTCCGGTCTGTTGTCTAATTAATTTTACTATTTTCAAAGGTACTTTCATCATAAAAAATATTTCTTCTATTTTTTAAAATCACTGCCCCCTTTTTCCGTTTGAAACTTTCTTAGATCACAATCTTGTTAAGCTTTTCGCTTTTAAATTAAACTCCTTTAAAATAGTTTCCCCCCCCCTTCTTAATTTCAAAAAGAAGGCACTCACCAAGAGACTGTGATCTTAACTGCCTTTGGGATTATCTCTCTTAGGTTGTAAAGCAGTTAAATCATAAAGTAATTAAGAAGGTGAGGCTTTTGCCAGTCAAATGGCCATAAAGGCTGCACAGCAATTTAGGGCAGGTTGTAAATCCCTTGACCTCCAAGCCGCTCAACCCACCATCGGCCACAAGAAACTAAATTCCTGCAGTCTCCTTGTGAGGAGCAGCTCTTCTGGAGCACAGGTGGGTAATCCCCTGATTTATCCTTCCTCTGGAGAAATTTCTGTCAACCAGAATCATCTCCTGGTTAGCAGATTCACTGCTCTGCTGTACCTGCTTGTGGAGCCACTCACAGAGACATCTAACCAGCCGTAACACCTCACCTGGAAGCCACGTTTAACTGTAGCGTTGCTTAATATCCCACCCTTCAATTTAGAATAAAATTCGTAAGATAGCTAATAGGGGCAGCAATATACAATAAGTAGCAAATGACAATGCAGGAGCTTAAAATAATTTCGGCATGAATAAAAGGTTTAAATTGGATAAACAAGGTCCTTACCTGGAAGTAATCCTGCGTATCTTTATATAGGAGGAAATTCTACTAAGCTCTGCCTAACTCAAAGTGCAGCATTGGTACTTTTTTTCCCACTTGAGTACTCTTTGTGCCCCATTCTGCCTACATTGCTTGTTTCTGTCCCTGTGAGATTGTGTTCATTGTAATAGGGAATAAATTAACGGGCAGAGAAATGTCAGGATGTCATGGCATATGGGAGCAGCTTGTAAACAGCTATGCAGATGTGAAGACTCTTGCGAAGAGCTTTATTAACCCCAGCCTGTATCAGGTATATACAGTGGGGCAAAAAAGTATTTAATCAGCCACCAATTGTGCAAGTTCTCCCACTTAAAAAGATGAGAGAGGCCTGTAATTTTCATCATAGGTATACCTCAACTCCCCTTCATGGATCACTGCCTTGTCGTGGCGAAGGGGCTTGCGTAACTCAGTGAAGCCATGAGCTATACCGTGCA